TTATAATATATTTTATTATACCTGTAATATACTTATATCAATAATAACCCAGATAGCATTTTCGTAATGATAATGTTTTATTAATATCATATTTTCATCAGAAAAATATTATTTAAAAAAATATATTACTATAATGTAAAATAAATATTTTGCAAAATAATATTATTTGTATAACATTAATATAATGTAAAATAATTATTTTGCCAATAATATTATACAAATAATATTAATAGAATGTCATAAACGAAATTATATTATATTATTTTGAATATATTATTATCATAATGTTAATAATGCATTGTTTTAATGATATTTTGAATATGATATGGCTATGACATTATAATCGAAATAATAAAATAATATTTTGAACATATGATTATTTTGTTATCAAAAAAAAAAATTACATAAATTAATATAAAAATATATAATGTCCAAAAAATGAGTTTATTCAAGTGTTATTGAAGTATTAAACAATGAACTGTTCAAATAATTTGTACAACATGTCAGCATATTAAAATGGATATTGGCTACCTCCATATAATAATTATGTAATACTTATTATATAAATAATATTTTTGTTTAATAATAATTATCATAATGTCTTATATTTATTTTCAGGCTGTTTGTCTAACTGGTCACTAGTGGTCAGCTATAATATATATTATTTAATTATTATGTTAAAACGTTTATTTGGTATAATATTACTAGAATTTCTAAGCGTTTTACCTATTATATTCATTATTCAATAATTATTCCCTCAGTTTTTTTTTTTTATAACTGCTGCGACAACTAGGGCCATTGGTTACAAGAAATTAAACATAATTATTACATCGGCCATTAAATTGTTACACTAAATTGAAACTTATATTTTATAACTAAATTGATAGGAAAGATAGCATATAAAAATTAATATTAATACATTATAAGTGAATAAATTATACATTAATACTAATATTTTTAATATGGATAGGACCTATACCTATACCTATATATATATAGGTATAATATATATATATATATATACCTATACCTATACCTATATATAGGTATAGGTATAGGTATATAGGTATACCTATATACCTATACCTATACCTATACCTATACATTTCTAAATTTTTGTCTGAAGATCTGTAGAAAATATAATAATTAGGTAGCGATCGAAATCGTTGTATCTTGTTGTAGATTAATGTTCTGTTATTCACTTATCACACTGAGAGTTAGAGAACATTATGCGTGTATGTCGTCCACAATTATTATATATTTTTATTGTTTTTGAAATATGAGATACCTAGGTACAATGCTTACGCGGTTCGGTCCTAATGTAGCGGTTAGAAATAAGGGTCTATCAATGATTATTGTGGTATCAGTAATTCCATACTTCCCATGCTTTTTTTCATTACTAAATATTAGTTAATAAGTAATAACATTATGACTATAATAGTCATGAGTCATGACTCATGAGTATTTCACTGTTGAAGTAGTTGTAAGCGTAGGCACTTGCTTTTTTTTTAATTATACCTATTATTAAATACCTAATTCAAATTTTAAATATTCATATTATTTTACATTATTATTCGTCACCACCCATCGGCCATCACTAAATATTATAATAATAACATAATGATATTATTATAAACGTAGATTATTATCGATAATAATTATTAGGATATTTATAGATATTATAATGACGATAACACTTCAACAGTGCGGATTTTCCTAATTCATGGTATTGTCGTCGAAATACGTGATAAGCCATACTGCAGATACTGCCAACTGCCATAGATTCAATGAGTAACTAAAATAGTAATCGTTCATTATCGGCAGCGACGCGCGATGGGCGACGGCAGCTTGAAAATTACAAAGCAATACCTATAATATTTTGTTTCCATGATCAAAAAATCATTTTTTTTTAAGTTTTCAACTTTCGTAGTTTAACGTTTAAATGTTTAATGTTTAATTACGTATTGATCTAAAGCTATTCGCCGTGTCTATCAATATTATAATTTATATTTATTAAATATTTGTGCACATTGTGGGATTGCTGTCCTTCGATTCTTATAGGTAAGTGATCAAGGTTTTAAGTTTTGTATAGTTATTTTATATTTAATAGGTTATTTAGATGTAAATATACTCACAATACTTTTAATATAACATATTTTACCATAAGTCAACCCTATAGTTATTACAAGGTATTTAAATATATTACATACAGAATTGCATATTATATTAATAAATAATAGGTAATCTGCAATTGTTTTATAAATATGTACAATGTTTTTTTATATTTTACACAGAATTTATAGTATTTATTGTATAATATCAATAATATAGATACCTAATATTGATTTAAATTATACATAATTTGTTTATAAATGTTATATTTAGAGGTTGCTACACTCGTATTCATTGTGTGACTTAATGTTTTCCTTATTTAGAAAAAATGTCATCTCGAAAACAAACCAATCTAAGTACCTATTAAGTTGTCAAACAAAACGAAAAAGGGTTAAAGAGGCATTACCGTTTAATAATATCAGTGATGGTAGTTAATTAATAATTATGATGTTTGTTCTTCTTTAATGTTACCTGATAAAAGTCACAATCAAATAGTTAAGTTGAAATTGATTTGCCAACAAACCCACATGAAAACAATTATTTTATAAATCTAAAATTAAACCTAAATCAACTCCAAAATGCTATAAAACCGAGTATAAAACTAACTGATAAAACAATATATTATGACTTAGATAATGAAATAAAATACTTATAATCTGAAACCAACTAAATTAAATACAGAAGCTGATAGTTGTCTTTTAACATATTGTTACGGTGACATAATTAAAGTCTCAAATCATACAATAATGTTAAACTATATTAGGTATATTTATTATGATTTAGTTTATTTTTATGTAGGTAGGTACAATTATTCTTGTTTTCATATTGAATTGACACATAAGTACTATGCTTTTATTACATTTTTGGATAATGTAGTATTGAATACCATATTGTAATAGGTATACAGGTACATCTCTGGGTACCTATCTCATTAATTAATGATGAAGTTTCTTTGAAAGTTTCCATCTTCAAAAATCATAACAGCACATAATAATAACTATAATATAACATAATAAATACTAACAGTACCTAAGCTTTTAAGAATTAAAAACCCATGTGTGAGAACAGTGTCTCTGTGTTATTAGAGTTAAGAACTTTATTTATATGAGTGTAAGCCACAACCAATAATCTGATACTTAATAAAAATAATTGAGCAGTTACTTTAGCATTACCTATTTATTTATTTTTAATTAGGTATTCCAAATTTTGAAACTTATCAAGTATGATTTTTACCCATACTTATACAATAATAAAGACAAGCCAATAGACTTGTACCTATCTAAAAAAATTGGATGCTTATTGTCTTATAGGTAGACATCATACTTATTAACACTAAATGTTAGGTAAATAGCATAGGTATTTAATAAGAATTTTACCTAGGTACTTCCATATTTGTATTTTAATATACTGTATATATGCCTGATCTTGTAGGTACCTACTATTGTATAAGTAGCAATAATGTCTTATCAAAAGAAGTCGAACCTTAGTATGCGTTCTAAGAGAAGAAGAGTCAATGAAGAACTCAAAAACACATCTATACCTTTATCACCTTCTACAATTGACAAAAATGTATCTTTGACAGCTCATTCAACAGGAATTAACATTATTCCAGTATCAAATTTGGTTACTAATGTTAAATCTGTGGACAATGTATGTGTTGCGCCTTCACAGAGAAGTATTAATAAATCCCCGAATAAATCAGTTGATCACAATTTAGTGACCGAGTCGGGTGACACACTATCAGATGTTGGTGTTATTGAGTCTTCATCAGATGAAGATAATTGTTCTAATTCAAATAAGTATGGTAAAACATCATTTTTTGTGTCATTAGTTGCTGAATGGGCCGTTAACTTCAAAATATCTCAAAATGCTCTTAATGGCTTATTAGGTATTTTAAGGCAACACGCTTGTTTTGAAAATTTGCCTAAAGATTCAAGAACAATCTTACAGACCAAACCAATCAACATCTTAAATATTCACTCTGTAGAACCTGGAAACTATTATCATTTTGGCTTAGCTAATGCTATCAAAGAAAATATTCCATTAAATTTAAAAAATAATGCTTCAGTGATCCATATTGTAGCAGGAATAGATGGTTTGCCTTTATTTAAATCAACTGCTGAAGAATTTTGGCCAATACTTGCTTATATACAGCCAAATAGAAGTAACGTGTTTCCAGTAGGGATTTACTGTGGAAATAAAAAACCCTTGGACAGCAATACATTCCTGAAGTATTTTGTAGAAGAAATAAATTTTCTAGATAACAACGGTATTGAAATTAATGGAAAAAACTTTAAAGTTATGTTGGATGTGTTATGCTGTGACGCTCCGGCTAAATCATTCATATTAAAAACTAAAGGACATGCTGGATTCTCTTCTTGTTCAAGATGTGAGCAAGAAGGAGAACACTTATTGAATAGAATGTGTTTTCCATATACAACACCAGATAATCGACCATCCAAGAGAACTCATCAGAATTATATTTCTCAGTTTGATGAGGAATATCATACTGGAAATACTTCTATATTAACTACAGTACCATATTTTAACACTGTTACAGATTTTTCATTGGATTATCAACATTTAGTCTGCCTTGGTGTGGTTAGAAAAATTATGTATTTATGGATTAAAGGCCCTGTGCCTATACGTTATCCATCTTGGAAAATAGAACAAATATCTACAATACTGATAAGTCTAAGAGTCAGTATACCTTGCGAAATCAATAGAAAACCAAGAAGTTTAGCTCATATTAAAAACTGGAAAGCTACTGAATTTCGTACATTTTTATTGTATTTGGGTTCTTCTGCTATCAAGTCTGTTGTATTAAAGGAACACTGGAAACACTTTTTTGATTTAAGTTTAGCAATGACAATATTATTGAGTCCTGACTATGCACAATATATTAATATTGCAAAGAAACTGTTGGATAATTTTGTTAAAACCTTTGAAATTTTGTATGGTCGGCACCTTATATCCCACAACGTCCATGGATTAACGCATATATGTGATGACTATATTAAATTTGGTCCATTAGACAATTGTTCTACATTTCCATTCGAGAATTACATGAGTACTCTAAAGAACATGTTACGCAAGCCAGACAAGCCACTTATACAAGTTGTTAAAAGAAGTAACGAAATAAGTTTATTGAAATTAGATTCTCAAAAAGAAATACCTGTGTTCAATTTTTCTGGATTTCATAAACGTGGACCATTAATAAAAAATATACAAGGATCGCAGTATACTACCTTAAAAATGAAAACATTTACTATTAAATTAAATACAGAAGCTGATAGTTGTCTTTTAACATGTAACGGTGACATAATTAAAGTGTTCAATATAGTTAAAGATAAAAATGATGCAATATTTTTAATTTGTAAACAATTTCAAAACAAAGACATTTTATTTGATAAACCGATTAAATCTTCAGAATTAGATATTTATAATGTTAATACATTAAGTCATGAGCTCTACTGCTATCCTATAAATGAGATTAAAAAAAAAATGATTTTAATTCATTCTGACAGTAATGTGTTAATAGCTTTACCATTAATTCATAGTTCTTGTAATGCATAGTTAATAGTATAAGTATAGTATATAGTTAATAGTTAGTTATTAATATTTTATATTTAACGATTGTTTTTAGTAATCAAGTATAAAGATTGTTAGTTATATTTATCAATAATTGGTTTTAATGTTAATTAAAGTTATAGTACATAGGTATATTCATTTATTAATAACTATTTAAACAATATATTGAATGAATTAAAAATTATTTAAAGTGTGGCAGTTTTATTATTTTAATATTTACTATATTTCAGTAAAATATGTGGTCAGTTGTCAATTTTTCTGATGACAATGGAGTTGCAGTTGTGCCATCATTTTGGGTCAAAGAAAATAAATCTGCTTGGCCAAAAAAAAACGCAAATCACTTTATAAAACAAAGATTAGTACCAAATAAATATGATTTTGAGTATTTATCAATTAAAAAAAAAATGTGCAAGGACTTAGGTAATATTATAATATACAATAATACTAAATAATACATATTATTGCTATTGTCTATTATGTTAATAAAATATTTTTATATTTTTCAGATGATTATTTTCAGGCTAAGGTCCGAGCAAAAAAGTCTGAAAATACTTCGAACGTTTCATCTTCGTCATATGAAACAGATGATGAAATCAGAACTAGGCTAAAGAAGGCAACAAAAAAAGAATTTAATAAAATGGCAAAAATTCAAAACAATAAAGCTATTAAAAAACCAGCATGGAGTCCAGATTCCATTAAAAGTCTAGGTAATTGTGAAAAATATAAATATAATATATACCTACCCATTAGAATAGTAGGTATTTATTTAAAATTACAGTTTGATTCTAAGGGTCATGTGGGGAAATAGAAGAGAATAGTAATTGTGACAATGAGTTCAATAAACCATATAACATACATATTGGTATAAAAATTATAATCAGTACACTGCGCATGTATTATTTAGTAGGTATGTTTATAGCCCCACATAGTAGGAATGTAGGACACAACAGTGAAATCAGCTGTCTTTATTTCTTACACATAGTTGTATATATAGATTAGATATGTTTAATATATAGCAACAGCATAGTTTAGATTTTAAATTGTAGATTTTTTTGAATTGGTAAAAAATCATAATATGATTTTATCATAATTATATACTACATACTTGGTTAAATTTTAAACATCTTATTATTATTATTTTAACAAAATCAACATTCTATTACTTTATTTTTTATTTTTAATGAGTAAACTATTTATTTATAATTGTTGTTCTTTATAGATACTCCACCGTCTAGGAACAAAGTATTATCGGGCAACAGATCAGTTAAAAGACAATTAGATTTTTTTGATGAGCTATCTTTGAGCCCAGAGTTAATACCAGCTGCCGAAGTACTTAGTATGTATATAATAATACTTTTATATACCTAGATGATTTTTAAAAATTAAAAAAACTTCTAATAATTATGTCAATTATCCATTTTTCAGATGCACAAGATGATGTACATGAAGTTATTTATACATCCTCGTCGCCTTTTAAAGTTTCCAAGACCAGTGCTACAGCTGATAACATGGCATTAGGTATGTATAGTATGAAATTTACAGTTAAGTAATTATTTTAATAACCATTTAGTGGAGTCATTTGGGGGCAGGGTTGTGACAAGGTGGGCATTTATAAACAATCAAGTTAGTGAAAATAGCTCAAGAATTAAAACAATTTCTCATAAAACAGACAAAACTTGAACTAGTAAGCAAGCAATAAAAATAAAATAATATTAGTTGACATAGTATGATTTGTATTGTATGAACAATTGTTTTATAAAATATCTGCTACATTATATTTGCAAATGATTTTGTTAGCTAGTTAATAAAGTGGGTGGCTACGATTATAGTAAAAAGTATTTAAATTATAAAATATTTGAGGTAGGAGTGGTAATTTAATAAAAATCATAGTAGATATGCGGTTAATCCAGCTGCCAAAGTACTTAGTATGCATATAAATTATAATTATACTACTATAAAGATAATTTATAAAAATTAAAAAACTTCTAATAATTATGTCAATTTTTTTTCAGATGCACAAGATTATACACAAGAAGTTATTTATACATCCACATCGCCTTTCAAAGTTTCCAGGACCAGTGCTACAGCTGATAAAACGGCATTAGGTATGTATAGTATGAAATTTACAGTTAAGTAATTAATTTAATAACCATTCAGTGGCGTCACTTGGTGGCAAGGTGGGCATTTGCTCCTGTCTAATTTTCAAAGCAGCCGTTCCCAGATGTTTCCAATTAATGATTATTATGTTTTATTAGCACAAAAACATGCCTATTTTATTGTTTACTATGAAATTATTGTCACAATGATAAATTTTGTAATATATAATATTATATAGGGGACGGAGTGGCCGAGCGGACTAAGGCGTCGGTTGCGATGCACACCGGCGCCGGTTCAAATCCGGCCGCGGGCGGAACTTTTCTTCGGGCAAGTCACGGTGCCCGGAGAGAAGTACTGCCATCCCCCACCCGGGCATGGCAGATGCCTAAAAATCTGCCAAATCACACGTGTCAAACCAAAAGTTCTCTCCCCTACAGTACCAAAGGCTAATAACCATAGCAGTTGAAGCCTCAAACCTAAAAAAATATTATATAGACCTGTTTTTTTTTTTTTAACAGATTGACTGTCATGACAATTTGGACATACTTGCCAAATTGTTTATGTAACACATATATGGGTCACGCCTGATTTTCATTTTGTTCCTGTGCATCACAAAATGTAATTTGTGAAACATTAGTGACACACGGAGGGGGTCAAGTTTTTATTGTTTTTGCAATCAATTCTTCATCAGCAACATTTCAACGATTATAATAAAATCAATTTTTTCTCAAAAACTGGATAGCAAACATTATGTGACTCATATACGGGTCTCGTGGCAGTCAATCTGAGTTACCCATTTGAGCTGGCCAAAACGTTTGCCCCCCCCCCTCCCCCATACAACTGAAAACTGAAACTACACCACTAACTATTATCTAAAAATCAAATGCATAATATTTTAAATCATTATTTGTTAACAGACATACTGAATAAGATAAATAGAACCACATTAAACACATGGTATGAAATAAAGTCTATGACCGAAAGAATAGAAAATATTGAAAAATGTATGGCAAATAAAACAAATATAATTGAACTTCACGAAACAACATTGCAAGGCATTGATCATGTATTACAGCACATACTTTGTAATTTACCGTTGAAAACAGAAGAGGATCTTTCAATATTTGAAGAAAAATTAATTGATATTCAGATAAAAAAGAAAATGGTTAGAGTTGTTTATTGTAATAATAATGAGTAATAACTAATATGTAGGTAATTAAATAAGACCCCAAATAAGCCAAAGAGCTTGTATTTAAAGAGGTCTCTAAATCTTTTTACCAAAGTAACTTACTGGGATTTTGTATGAGCTATCTTTATAATTTTTTGGGGAGTTATTAATTTTGTTCTATACAGATGTACCTACTTATAAATAATTGAATTGTATCCAGGTAAAAAAATAATAATAATAACAATTTGAAAGTCAACTAAACGAACAAATTAAAATATGATTACAATTTACAGGTAGAAGAATTGTCACGGTTAGCTCGCAACAACATAGGAGGTACAGTTAGAACAATGTTGAGATTTATTTTTACTGATGAATTACTAAAGGAATTTAGTTATAAAGGACAAAAAAAGAAAAAGGTGTTCTCGGTCTTGGCCACATGTTCCTTAATATTCGGTAAGAAAGATGATAAGTGATAACATAATATTCTTTTATACCTATTCAATTTATTCTCAAAGTTTATTTTATCCTATGATACCAATATACCTATGTATAAATTAACCAAATACATTTTTTCAGTTTATAGCTTATTATATTTGAATGTTTCAGAGTCAATAAATAAAATTGGAAAGTTTCAACATTGCAATACAATTGATGTTGAAACACCGATGAAAATTTTTATTGCTGGCGCCAAATTCCGTCTAAATCAACCTTAATGTTTAATTAATTGTACAATTATTAATAAAAATAAAACATTTCATTTGCTTTATCAAATAATTTGTAAACATTTTTTAGTAAATAATTATTTATGTACTTGACAAATAAAAAAAAAGGGGATACTGTATATCTATTATCTGTTATACATATCTGTGTCTTGGTAGTCATATAGAATATAGATAATTATATTATGTAACTAGATATAAATACATATCTATGTATAATATATTATTTATATACCTGTAAGTAATAATTATCCTATAAGTTATGTTATAAATTAATTAGTCTAGGTAAACATATTTATAAATTTATAAATATATTTAAAATATTTAAATAATCATATAATGAGAATATTATGATAATAATAAAAGAAAAATAATATTATAATATTATAAAAATAACATTTTATTTACATTATTTTTAAAATATCATATAAACGATAATCTCGTGGCCAACTGACATTTAATAAATATTTTTTAAATATTATTTTAATCAAAAAATTGAAGAAAAAAAACATTTATTAAATCATATCATCACAAAAATAATATTTTTTAAATCTTAATAAAATATATTTTTGCTATCTGGGAATGATCTCAAAAAAGGTTGAAATGACGAGTTTCAAATACTTCCACA